CAATCGAAACTAATTAACCAAACTTTGCACTGTATAGTGTTGTCTATTTTTGATTTAACTAAAATTTACTTTGTATCTATGTTCGAGTATTAATTACTCGAAGTACGTTTCTTTTGCTTATCTATTTTCATGTCTTACTCAAGATCTTCTTTTAAGAGATTTATTTGCCGTAAGGTCAATTTGTTGTAAATTAGAGTACCCCTACTCTAGCCTATTTCCAATTGTAATGTGTATTTTCAGGTAAGCATATGGAATGAACGTCGCATTAGTAGAGCTCTATGGAAGTTGAAGATTTGGTTTCAAGGGAAGGCACTTGAGAGGAATTTAAGAATCAATTGAAAAGAGGGGGGCATGAAAAGAATTTAACGAAAACCTAGAAACTTTAATGAGACTTCACAATAATCTGGAAATATTCCTTTGAAAGCTTGAAGTGCGCTTACAGAAAAATTGAAAACGATAACTTGAGAGGAAAGTGGGAAAATTTGTTCGGACATCGGACATTCAAGGACGTTTAAGAAGAACTTGAGATATTGTGATCAAATTAAAAGAAATTTGAGGAAAACACCAATACAACATTTTTTTAGGAATATTCGAAAAGTTTTAATGGTTCATAGTGTAGTAACATGCAACACGAATTTGTTACTAACTATATTGGTGAAATAAACGAATAGGTGGGGGTAATAATCATCGCGACAAGCATAACAAGTTCCACATTATTTTTAATAGTAACAAAAATCAGTTTAGCCGTCGTAATTAATGAGAACTACTTATTAAGAAAAGTACTTAAGTCTAGGAAGCTTCGAGCAGGTGAATGTAAATTTTATAAACGATTTGATTAATATACATTTAATGTGTGCATAAATAGTAAAAAAAAATTTCAGTATTAATGGTACGTTTTATGAAGAACTCGTTTTCTTTACAATGGGTTTATGAATAAGACCACGAGATAAAACGACTAATACTCAATGCTTAGTCTAAGTCAGTAAGACACCCAAAGCTTTTTATCACCCATACAAAATATGACATGCTGAAATTCGATGACCCGTGAACTTGTCGTTAGGAAAAATTAGCATCTTTGACGTGTAACACTTTAACTGATTGCTACACCGGCAACGATAATGTTCTCTTTGCATACATTTTATATAAAAGTAGGTTTTATTACCAAAAGTATTTGAATATTAATTAAAGCAAATGGAATTGTATGTTTAGAACAAATTCGTGTATAAGGTCGAACACCCACAATTAAAAATTACAATAAATTAATGGATTAATATTATATCTTCATTTTTATTCATTATTAAAGTTGTTGATCAAAATTGGGACATCTGTGGGCGGTTCCCATAATAATACAATGCGACATCGGTTTCACCGTGCTAATAATTTTTAATATTACAATGTAATCAAAATAAATGACGGGTTGTCAAAAAAAAAACATCTCCCTTTGAATATTATATTTTTTGCTTGTATTTTATTTTAATTATATGTTGCGCTGGTACGAGGAGGAGATAACCCATATTGCTGCGAGGCTGCAATGGACATCCTGATTATATATTCAGATATTAAGATAAAAATATCTTCTTTATTCAGTTTCGAATCTTAATAGCAAGTGATGTTAAAACAATAAACGTTCCTCGGACGCCACAAAGACGTGTCTATAATGCACGTCGCCAAACATCCAACAGTTGATCCGTTATTTGAAGGCGTTGTTCACACCTCGCCGTCTAGTATGAAAAAATTACACGTCATGTATTCAACACACGCATGTAACTCTAAGAATTACATGTACTAAAGAAGTTGGTACTAATAACTAAATACAATTGTGTTCAAAGCAAAGTCGGCACGCACTATTGCTAACTTTGTCATTATCACAGCTACGAAGTTAGTTAAATTAAGAAATAGAACGCATGATCAAATCAGAACAATTGCACATCGGGGGTTGAGGCTTTCTTGATAGTATTTTGCACTTCCGAATTCCGACCGACCACTTTGATTAGCATTTTGAAAAATAGAGAGAGGTTACATTTATGGTCATTAAAACACCCCTGACATCTGATCCAAGAAAAATATTGTGGATTAATGTGCGCATGCTCAACTCTCTTATTTATTAATATATTTTGTTGGCCCTTTAATTACAGATACTTCTAGTAAAGGCAAGAAAACATATCGCATGTGGTAAAAATCAGATGTGCGCATGCGTAGGGCCAACATCCGTTGGTATTGCTTTGCCAATTTGCTTTCTCCCTCATTTGCTAATTACTGTGTCCGTGTGCCCTAATTCGCTTTAGTTGCTTCCCTGGGCGTAACGGCCCGCCGCATTCTGGAGCTTCCGTTTTCTCCGAGTGAGTGTATCCGTGGCAACCGCTCCTATTGCCGACCTTGACCAGGGGTGATTTGAACATTAAACTTCTTTGGTCGTTATTAATGAAGGATCCTAATTAACACACAGCTTGCGTGAAATTACACAGATAACTCTTATTTTACAATGACACCAGGTAATTAAAGGAAAAACTAGCATTACAAATAGAACTACCAAACTAAACTTAAGGTTACTTACAGTTTTGTTCTTCTAGACAAATATCTGAAAGAGATTCGCAACCACAGATCACTAATTAAACTGTAACTGAGACCACGGACTACAGTACGCACAGACTTGGTCCTTACAACTTGTAAACGTTATAAAATTATCCTCCAATCATGATAACGTGATATCCAACAAAACCTAACCCCGCCGTCTAAACACATCGCTAAATCGACTGTATGCACGTAGAAAAAAAAACCTCTTCCGAGAATCAGCACAAACTAAGTACAGGGCTGCGTTTAATTGATAACAAAACTCGAACATAGTCGGCTACGAAACGGGCGGAAATAAACGCCTTATTTTCTTCTATGGAAACAGGCAAAGAGCCGGACCGAAAACTCTATACGATCAAAATATACTGCTACAGACGGGCAGCGGTTAGACGTCGAGACTGGCAAAATGCTTCTAATAAACGGATGGCACCCCAGTCTCGAACTTGGCAAAAAGCGTCTTCTATTCCGCGCCTGTCCTTTTAAAAGGAAGTCCCACTTCATTTTCGAAAAACTTAGACAGCCAATAAAACTGGCTATAAACGATACTGCCCAATACACGATCCCTGGATACCGCAAGTATACGCTTAACTTTACCAGATAATCTCATTTAATTCTAACAATTTCTACCAAAGAATACATTTTTTTTATAATTAAAATAACCACGTTATCTCCGAAACAATTATCTTTATCTCTCACAAATAAAAAGAAAACCTAATAAATCAACTCGAACTGTCACATTAAAAGTAAGAAGCAATTTGATAACAAATAAAAATTAAAAATAAAACATTTTTTTAGATTTAAGAATTTCCAGGAATGCATTATCATTAATAAACAGAAAATAAACAAATATAACCGTGACTGCAGCCCGCTCGTATTGGGAAATTGTTTTGTGTTAAAACGTAACCAGAGTCACCATTAAACAAAGAAAACAAAATTCTGTTGAACTTAATTAGGTAAACTCAAGTTCATTCTAAATGTCCCAATTCAAGCACATCCCATGTCCCATGGGCAAAAATGCTGTAGACCGGTGTTAAAATGTTATTCAATTCAATATCCTCAGTCCGCCAATGGGAGTATCATTTCTTTTGGTTAAAAAAATTTGCCTCAACAAACTAGATGCTTTGTCTAAAATTTCCACTCACTACTCTTTTCCTGAATATTAACCAAATTACAGAAATTATGCCCATTCTTGAATAATAGGTAAAGTGAAATTATCACGCAGTTTTAGAGATTGATTTATCTAAAAACAAATACAGAAAACATTTTTCGCTTGTCCCTTTGAAAAAACGAATGTGGAATTTTGAATGGTGTATCGATACAAGGATACATCTAAAGATGTATCGTGGTGCCTTAATTATAATTACATACTAAGTAGTTCCGACTTCCGAAATCCTTTAATTCAATTGCGGAATGACATAAAAACGAAACTGTACATTGCAAAATTACAACAGAATTAACTCACTAGCTTATTGGTACAAAGAGAGGAGGAAATGAAATGATGATAAAGAAGCTCTTCATTTCATTATATTTTTATCACTTATACTCACTATAAGCCCCAGATAAATATAAAGCCATCAATCCCCTTATCAAATATTCTTAATATGTATACCTACTTCATTAGCACAAAACGATAAAATGCATCTTTATTTCTGCAAAGTTACTTTGTCTTAAATAAGGTTCTTTATCAAGGCACCTTAAAATAAGGAGAATGACCTCAATATTTGTGTAATAGACATTTTGATTTTCTGTAGGTCAGTGTGGACTTCTCGCACGTGGCCTGCCACAGTGTAATTACGCTACTGAAAAACAAGAGCTTCAATTACGGCCTTCAAAATTCAAATGTCTCTTATGGGGGTAAGCAAAGTGAATTCATTTCATTATGCAACTCATTTACGCGCAAAGCTGTCAACGAAATTTAGCGTTGTGGAACGATTTGGAATTCCGACGGTAATTTTGTGAGATTTAACTCCTGATGAGAGCAAAGCAATGTTTATGTGTTTGTATAACAAACATTAAACACGCGCCTAGATTACCGATAGAAGTTCGCCCACGTAATAATTAGTAATTCAAGCCGACACCAAATGACGCCTACACATTATCAATCATCAGAACTTCCTATTTGCACCAAGGATTAAGTTTTCTCGTTACTATCTCTTTCAGTATAATTGAATGGCTCACGTATAGAAAGTACAATTTGACGTTTGAGTGAAAACCGATAATTAATTTTTTACGTAACATGTTAGCACTTCAATAGCCGAGAAAAAGGTGTAATTGGCAATTTTTTATTTCATAGATCGGCGATCATTTTGGGTCTAGAACTGATACATCATCTCCATACGCTTGACGCGTGTATTGTGATGCGGGCGAAGTCTCACATACGATGCAGTGGGGGCAGATCCACATCAGGTAGAGGTATCTACCTGCCTAAGATGTAAGAATACTGGACAGATCACAGTGTCCAGTTTGCGGTCCAAAGCGACGCACGTTTAGAAGCTGCCGAAGAATAGAATACGTAAACGCTTCCAAATACGGTCCAAGACTTCGACGGTGAGACAGACGCGAAACCCGCGGCAATTTTATAAATGAATTTGTGTTAAACTGAGGTGATTGTGTTATAAACGTATAAATTATAAAGTTCAGTAAGCGTGACTTGTAATCTGACGGAAGTCAGCGACGCGTACAAGCTCGATTAGTGTATAAGTATCTATATAATAAATTATCGACCGCGTAAGATATCCGCCACCATTACGAAGTAGATTTTTGTACTTAACCGTAAGTATCTCAATTAGTATCCCCTGTTACGGATATGAGTGGCGTGCAAGGACGATTTTGCTAAGTGTAACGTGTTTATCATAATGGACTCCTTACTTCAGTATCAAAGTGACCTGTCGCAAAGGCTCTCGCAAACTCTGTCGGAAATGGCCTACCCAGACCCTAACAACAACGACGGATGCGATACCACCACCCCTCCGAAGGAAGACAAATATTCGTTACGTCCTCGCTCTTTGAGACGTACGACGGAGACTTCGAGGAAACCTGAAAACGAGACTGAAAAGCTGAAACCAACAAAAAATCCGAAGCCTAAACAGAAGCCGGCACCTTTAAGTAAATATAGGCGTAAAACGGCGAACGCAAGGGAAAGAAGTCGCATGCGAGAAATTAATCAAGCCTTTGAGACTTTGCGACAAGCAGTTCCGCAGCATATGTCGGTGGCCAACGTTGGCACAAACGAAAAACTGACAAAAATTACCACGCTGAGACTGGCGATGAAATACATATCGACGCTTAGTGCAACCCTTAACTCTGGAGACTCGTCTAGTATTGACATACTGTCCGACTACAGCGATTTGGATTGTCTCCTCTTAGAATCCGACGGCGAGTCGCTTCCGTTATCGGACCACTCGCTTTTGGCATCTCCAGATTTTCCAGAGCCATCCCTTTCGCCCGTAGACTTCGGGGACCCTCTTCTACCTGCTTTGCTTCACACAGACTTCACCGAACACGCACTCGATGCGACGGACTTTAGTGATTTTTTGTTGACGTAACGTCGGTGAAACCGAGTCGCAAACTCGAAAACACTTACGTCCCTGTGTATCATACTTTTACGCTTTAGTGTAGATTTTAAAGTAAAAAATGAGGGCATTTCTTTAAACGAAGGGTACGCCCATTTATTTGTTTAGCCACAAAGTAAATCTTGCCTTTTAGTTTAGGGATGTACTATTTTGTAAATTTGTTACCTATGGATATTATTACTTGTGTAAGTCGAAGTGTTAATTTAATAAAATGTACTTAAAAAATCCTTGTTCGTCACTCAGATACGGTCAGTGTAAGTGATAAAAGGGTGGCCGGTGCGAAACCAAATCCTGTTTGTGTCTCTGAAATCAAATCATGGCGATAAATCAGATAAAAATCCTTTTAAAACCTTCTAGCTACCTGCATTAACTAACGAAAAATAATTGCCCGTTAGATCTCATCAATTAATCTTTCGAATATTGTTTTCGTTCGCCTCTAAAAAGAAGCAAGTAATCAAAGGTAAGTATTATCCAATCAGTGACACGAGTATATCGATTGTCAAGCAATCGTAAAAGTGTTTTTGTGCAGGCTGTAAAAGTTTCTCGTAAATTTAATTAGCCGAAGTCCATAAAATTAAGACTTTCCGTCGTTGCACAAAAACTTACAAGCTGCTTCTGCCTTTTTCCAACACTTTGATTCATGTAACACCCACAGGTTCTCGCATAGGTTATAATAATCGAAAATAGTTAAACAATTGTGGGCGTTTCCATTGAAAAGTGAGCTATTCGTAATATTGGAAACACCTAATTTAGGCAACTTCATTAATTTTGTAGATTGTGGTTTTAGATTTCAAAAGAGTTCATTTGACGAAAAATCATTAAAACTTTCTATAAATGATCATTATTGAAACACGTACACGCCCAAAATTGCACCACATTATTTAAGACTTACTCGCTTTATCGAGGTAATTAATTTTCGAAGGGTGATGCGGCGGCGTCCAGCATTTTCATTACCTAAAGGCGAAACGAAGTGAATCTGTATTACCGCTTTCATAAATCAATTCTCTCTACGAAAATAATTACTAAATATTGTACATTTAAGGGGTTGACTTTGTGCTCCGGGCACATACGTGACAACGGGGCGTAAAATTGCGAATCAGCATGTCAAATTTTTCCTTGTCTGCCAATTATGTCATTAGTAATTAACCGACCATCACCATACGTATAATTACATATTTTATTTTAAAATGTTCATATCTTTATAAAAATGTAACTCTCAACAAGCGCCGTCTTTAATAGGGAGGAAAAAATCTTTCCTTCATAGGTAGGTATACCCGCATGCAGTGCACAAGGTTGTTTATTGTGAAATGCAAGCTTTAGTGACATATTAAAAAGTTTCTTTTGCATTCGCTTCACCACAAACGAGCTTTTAAAAAAAGCTCAAATTCATCAACTGTACGTACAGTACAGAACCTCTTTTCACATATGAACAACACTTCGGTTTAGGTTTTTTGATACAAAAATAATATTTTCCGTTGTTACTGTAGCGTTTTGCACTATGAGTTTAAACAGAAAACGCACCCAACGGAAATAAATCGTAGAAGAAAAGTGATCACCTTTAAGCTCGTCGACTGTGGCGATTCTAACCCTAGGATAAAGAACACGAACTACCCTACCCAATTCCTACACGCAGCACATGGGTCATGCGTACCATCTCACGAAGGGTGCAGTAAAAGACAATTTCGTAAGGAACAGTTGCTCATTACGCACAATGAGATTTCCGAAGTTCATCATCTTACATAATGAGGAACCAAAAAGAGTGAGTAATTGTGGGGTAATTTGTTTCTGAGGTGGCATTATTTCAGATGTATTTCGTCAAATTGGCTTTAATTAATTTAAAATTATAGCGTAAAGGATAAATGCGCATCTTCAAATTTTTACTTTTCGTTTCGTGTAAGCATCACATTTTCATTTCCACTACATACGATAAAAAAATAATGCGGGTAGATAATCTTCCAAGGAGTGTTGGCATTTAACGCAGTTTTATGTTTTTATGTGTTGGTAAATTGTATCTGTAAAAATGTTATTGCATGAAAATAGCGTAAACTTTAGACTCTAATTGCAGACTTGTCAATAATTTCAGTCACAAACATTTTGTCAATAAAAGCACTTTCACTAAAATGTCAGTGTCACCTCAATAATGCATAATCTTTATTAAACTTGATTTCGATAAGCCGACTTACTACATTCTTTAAACATAAATGTGCCGTATGAAAATTTTCTCTTATTATGTGTGACTAATTTGTGTCAAAGGCGTTTGTTTATCCACCGAGATGAAGCAATTCCCGACCAATTTATGGTGGATTTCATCTGAAGTCCAATGGCGAATCCCTACGTACAATTATTACGTTTGCTTTCTACAGTAATTTACATCTAATTAGCATACTGCAAAGGACTTCATATCCTAAAACAGAAAATGGTATTCAAATTCTTGCCCGTTGATATATTTTCGCCTATAGTTAGGCAACCCAATGTTCTTGTAGTTAATTTCCTTCAGACAGGGTGTTTTAGCTATCCTGAAGGTAACTGCCAATGACGATGACTGTGTCTCGAATCGTGATCTTACTAGACAACAAATGTTTACAAAAATGACTGGGAAATAACATTCAAATTTAAACGAACCGTTCAATGAAAATCATACAAAAAATGAAGTTACACTTTCGCTACGGTAATTGAACACACAAAATGCAATGCAACTAATTCCTGAACACACGCAATTTACACCGAATTAGAACTTTTTAGCGCATTTGGTTGAAATTTTAAAGAGTATGCTATTGAAACCGCTTTTTTTCTCTTTTATAATGCTTTTCTCGTTTCTGGATCAAGCTGGGCCATGTTTTCTGGGTTTTGAGCGCACCTCGAGTCCAAATATATCCAACAACCAAACAAAAACAAAGATGCGGACTATAGCTAGAAAATTATATATTTTAAAGGATTCACTTACATGTGTAGTTCACTAAAAAAGCTTTATTATGCTCACATTCACTCAATTCTTAATTATGGTATAGGATGCTGGGGTGGTGCTGCTTCAAAAGATGGCAATTAGATCTATACTTCACAAACCAGTGAGAACACCTTCCCTTCCATTATTTAAAGATTTAAACATTTTACCTATTAGATATATGTATCTGTATAAATTTTTTTTTTAATACTTGTGATTTATTTAGTGAGGCCACCCAGAATACTGATAATTGTTTCAAAATGGTCATGCGAGGTATAAGTAATAAGCATTTACGACTTCCTAAAATTAACAAAAAATATTTCAAAATTCATATAGTTATCTAGGCCCCAACATTACAATATCTCAAAAACGTACATATAGACTACTTCAGAACTAGACCATCTTTATATTCATTTTCTTACAGACTGTAACTTTTAAACCAAGTTGAATTTCTACTGCCATCGAAGAGCAGCATAACTCGTTTATGCTGGACATTTTCCCTTAACCACAATGTTATTATTACGGCTAAGATTTTGATGATTTTGTATCTTTTTTTCTGAAAGTCTGAGACATTGCTCTGTTATATATAACGTGTTTCAGGATAAATTGAAGGAATGTGGCATTTTTACGATATTTCTAGCATTTTTCAGGAATAGCGCTAATTTTTTTTTATATTTTACGGTATTTCTATTGATGAGCTTATAAAACTTTGTTAAAAGTTTTCTTTTTCATGCAGTCTTAGATTTCAAGAACACAAGGCAATATTTTTCTTTTCTCAGTAGTTCCGGGTATTTTTTACCTGTTCAGAAATGAAGTCTAAAACCTCCATTATAAGCTAAATGCATAGTTAATGTTTTCTTGGATCCTGCTTAAGTAATCCGCAAACGAATGCCCACTAAGCGATTAAATTTGTTTGGGATGTGTGTCAGTAACTTATACCTGCTTTCTACGACTGGCCAGCAGAGGGTGGAAATGAACCAACAATAACATTCCTGTGTTATCTTACCTAATTGCTTCTTAAAATGATTTTGCGGTCTTATTCAGTTTCATCAATAAATCTATGTATTTGTTATTTAAAATGCCATCTTTCAAATTTCTATGTAATTTTTGCGAGATTTTTAAGTCATATTTGCATTTTTTATTTTGCTATTTCGCTGATTTTTAACGTCATTAAAATCCTAGCCCTAGTTATTATACTACTTATCCAATTAGAGGCAAATTTGTTGTGTTTTTGTTCTGTAGTATAGAATTCACAAACTTTTTTGTATGAATGGGAACAAAGAAACTTATTATTTATTTATTTATTTTACGCCCCTTATAGACATAGTGTTCTTATATCGTGTGATGCACCTTATGACGTACTGATGAAACATATTGCAGTAATTATCAGTACCTACATGATTGTCATTAAGGCTTATGGTCCAAGAGCTAACGACGATTTCCATTGTCTCATTTATGAAATCTTGACGAAATGCATCTAAAAAGGAATCTATAGATTTCTGTATTGACTTCTTATGACTTAATCTGCATAAAAAAAGTCCTGCAACTTTAGTGGCAAGACAACAATGGACAACGGTGCACAAATTCACTCTAAGAGCGACATGTGATTTTGAACATTGGGGAAAAGGAGGCGATAAGAAAAATTTGGAGTTTCATGTCTTGGATATCGGATAGAACAGAGGGGCCAAAGGATAGCGCCATCTAGAAGAAAATACTTTTGGAGGCCAACGCCTAATGCGAATATACTCATAGAAATGATATTCATAGGTTATAGACAGGGTGTTACATATAAATATATAAAAAAAATTGGATGGTAAAGGGGATCAGCACAACCACTTTTTCAAAATAAACCGATTGTCAAACGTGTTTCGTTTGGGAACCACCCTCAAAAACATGATGAGATTTGCATTTCTTTTTTAATTTTGTTCTAAATGGGGGTACAAAAATTTTGACGAAATTTGATATCTGGGGATTTTTGAACATGAAAATAACGAATCTGGAATGAGGGGATGGTAGGAATTTTGAAAACATTTGCAAAATTGAAGGGCATAGTCAAAACCTATTCAAAGATGTGCCACCAGGTTTTGTAAGTCTTATGGTTGCTGAAAAAAAAATTAAAGAAGAATTGTGAAACACGTTGGGCCCTCAATTTATTCGAAAAAAGTGTCTGATTTGATCCTCTCTACCTCACAATTTTTTTACATACTTATATGTAACACCTTGTATCTCCTTCTACCATACAAAAATCATAGTGATACAACATACGATGC